TTAGGCTTGGGGGGCGGGGCGGGGCGGGGCGGGGGTGGTCCCAGTCATTTCCAGAGACCGTGGTTTCACGTTGTCCCTGGCAGACTCAAGCATTTTGTGATATTTTCATTTCTCGGTTTTTCTTACATTTCTCACAGCCAGGGCTTTTAGAGAGGTGGAAGTTTTATGTCACGATGAAATACAAAGTGTAGCTCCGCTTTCTGTGAGCGCCCAGAGAGGATGTCTCACCCCTGCAACCTCAGAGACCAGCAGAATTTCGTTTGCCTTGTGAACGCTAGTTACCCGTTGATGATTATCTTGAGTTATTTGCATGCTACTTGTGTCATTTGCATGCTGTTTATCTTTCCATCTGTATCATCGGCATCGTCTTCTTTCCTCTCCCCCGCGTCCCCCCCCCCCCCCCCCCACCCCAACCTTTCATCTCTCTTCATTTGTTTCCTCCTTTGAGCTGCAGTTGGTTTTCTCTGGGATAGTTTAAATGCCTCTAACTTGAATGCGGTCCCCCTCGGACCCACCCTATAAGGTGGAGGTATCTTCAGGCAAGGGCTTCACTCTTAGACTCATAGAATGTCAGAAAACTGGAAAAGGTGTCATTAAATCCAAACATCTTTTACAGTTGAGAAAGGGAACAGAGACCTAAAGAATCGGATTTTCCTAATGGCACTGTGGTTGGGAATCCGCCTGCCAATGCAGGGGAGCTGGGTTGGAGCCCTGGTCCGGAAAAATCCCACCTTCTGCGGAGCAATTACGCCCGTGCGCCACAACTACTGAGCCTGCACTCTAGAGCCTGTGAGCCGCAACTACTGAGCCCGTGTGCCACAACTACTGAGGCCAGTGTGCCTAGAGTCTGTACTCCGCCACCGCAAGAAGCCCGAGTAGCGCAACAAAGAATAGCCCTGCTCTTCGCAACTAGAGAAAGCCCATGCACAGCAACGAAGACCCAACGCAGCCAAAAAGAAATAAATCAAATAAATAAATTTATTTTTTAAAAAAAGAACCAGGGCTTCCCTGGTGGCGCAGTGGGTGAGAGTCCGCCTGCCGATGCAGGGGACACAGGTTCGTGCCCCGGTATGGGAAGATCCCACATGCCGCGGAGCGACTAGGCCCGTGAGCCATGGCCGCTGAGCCTGCGCGTCAGGAGCCTGTGCTCCGCAACGAGAGAGGCCACAACAGTGAGAGGCCCGCGTACCGCAAAAAAAAATAATAATAATAATAAATAAATAAAATAAAAAAAGAACCAAAGTGGTTTAACCGGAGTCACGTGGTTAATAAAGAAAGCTTTTGCCACCAATATAGCAGCCCTCCCTTAAAGAGGTTTTCAGTTACCTGGGGTCAACTGCAGTCCAAAAATGTTAAATGGAAAATTCTGGAAATAGACAATTTCTAAGTTTTAAGTTGCTACCGTTCTGAGTAGTGTCAAGTAATCTTTAGCCATCCCACTCCAACCAGACCTGGAAATGAATCATCTTTTTGTCTAGCACTTTTTTTTTAATGTTTTTTTTATTGTGGTAAAAGTCACATAATATAAAACATACCATTTTAACCATATTTAACTGTACAGTTCAGTAGCACTCAAATTGTTGTGCAATTCTCACCATCATCCATCTCCCGAATTTTTCACCTTCCTAAACTGAACCTCTGTCCCCTTTAAACACTAACTCCCCCTTCCCCCTCCCCACGCCCCTACCCCCTGGCATCTACCAATGCAGTTTCTGACTCTATGAATTTGACTATTCTAGGTACCTCATATAAGTGGAATCAAACAGTATTTGTCTGCATCTAAAGTATATTGGAATACATTTTTAAGATTAACTTAATATATGTCCTGCAGACAGATTTTTCCCCCCTGTGCTGTACAGTAGGCACTCACCAGCCATCTACTTCACACATAGTAGTGTACATACATCAATCCGAATCTCCCAATCCATCCAACCACCCCTCCCCCCTTGGTGTCCATACGTTTGTTCTCTGCATCTGTGTCTATTTCCGCTTTGCAGATAGGTTTATCTATACCATTGCTCTAAATTCCACATGTGTGTTAATACCTATTAGTCCAGGAAAAAACATTGTATAAGTAGGGGTCAGTACTATCTGCAGTTTCAGGCATCCACTGGGGTCTTGGAACATATCCCCTCAGGTAAGTGGGGACTACCACACTTTTTCAAAGGTGTCTCTCCAGTTTGAAACCTTCTCCCATTCTTTATTTCTTTTTCACCCTTTTTAAAACCCACCAAGTTAGAATGTGTTTCATAAGATACATACTGCCCAGAAATTATTCATACAATGATAAGCCAAGTGATAACTGTGCTTAATATGGTAGAAAAGCTTGGTTGGAGTCTTAGAGATCAGTCTGGTGATCTGGATACAAATTTCTAGTCAGACACTTTACCAGCTAGATGACCTTCTTCAAGTTACCTATCCTCTCTCATGTTCAATTTCAGAATCTTTAAAATTGGGGTAATAATATTTACCTCACCAAGGTTGAAGGTTGATAGTGGTTTAAATGACATAGCATGAAAAATGCCTATCTGCTTCTGCTTCTTGGAAACACTGATTTCCTTTTTTCTATGGGGCTTCATAGAAAAAAAGAGCCACTCATGATAAAGGGCAAGAGCATTTTTTAGATTGGTAATGTGGTAGGTGCAATAATGGCCCATCATAGAGTTCTACATCCCAATGCCTGGAATCTGTGAATATGTTACCTTACATTCTAAAACAGACTTTGCAGATATGATTAAGTTAGGGACCTTGAGATAGGGAGATTATCCTGGATTTCCTGGTGGATCCAAAGGAATAACAAGAGTCCTATAAGTGAAAGAGCAAGGCAAGAGTCAGAGGAGAAGTGGGATAAAAGCAGTTTTTGTTCTTTCAGTACGCTTAAAAATCACTCCAAGATTCTGACTTCTATTGCTACCTGTGAAAAGTCAGCTGTTAGCATGACTGTTTTTTTGAAGATCATTAGAGATTTCCCCCTCTGGCTGCTTTTAAGATTTTTTTCTCTTAGACTTTGGTTTTCTGCTCTTTTACTGTGTATGTCTGGAAGTGTATTTCTTTCTTTCTTTCTTTCTTTTTTAATGAATGAATAAGTGGGATTTATTATAACAAATGTTTTAAATATGAGATTTAAAGTTATTGGAAGTGGATTTCTTTTTATTTATGATGCTTGGAATTCATTGGGCCTCTTGAATATATTGATTGGTTCCTTTCATGAGTTCTGAAAAATTCTCAGACACTATCTCTTCAAATATTGCTTCTGCCCCACTCTTTCTTCTCTCCTATAATTCCAATGAAATGTTTGTTAGATCTTTTCTATTCGCTATTTCTCTTACCTTCTCTTTTTAATTTTCCATGCCTTTATCTCCCCCATGCTTCTTTTTTTTTTTTTTTTTTTTTTTGT